CAAGGGGATGTGGGGTGGAAGTTTTTTATGTTTGTGTTTGGGACAGCATGTGATGGGTGAGGGTGAGAAGGTGCAGTGCAGACGTGGCTCACTTTTCTATAGGGCAGGATACCTTTGGGTAAATACTACGACAAGTCACTTCCTGACCTGCAGCTCAAGAGAAGTGCACCGTGACAGTGATGGGACCTGAGGGAATGGCATGGAGCTGTGTCAGGTCAGGGTCATGTTGGGTGTCAGGAAAAGGCAGCAGGCATGGAACAGGCTGCTGAGGGCAGTGGGCATAAGCCCTGAGCTGCTGGAGTTCAAGAAGCGTTTGGACAACACTCTCAGACATAGGATTTGAATGTTGGATGGTTGGGTATGGAACCAGGAGTTGGACTTTATGGGTGATGTTTATGAGTCCTTTCCAACTTGAGGTTTTCTGTGGTTCTGTACAATTATGCAAATGTTCAAGCACAATCACTGTTCAAGTCTCATGCCCCAGTCAGACAGAGGTCTTACAGTAATGCAGAATAATTACAGGGTCAGCCAAGTTACTTTTCATTGCTCTAATGGGCACTGACATTCGAACAAAACTGTGAACAGGTCCAGCGTGGACATCCACACTTGATTCTCATTCCCTCTTTAAATTTAGGTAAGTTTCATTTGCCTGGAATATATATTGCCTATTAGAGCCCTCAAAGTCTGAGGTTCTGTGCTTTCAACTAAAAAGCCATGTCAAAATCCCTACAAACCCATTCTTCTAACATTTACTCATACAAACAGATGATAAGACCTGGCAAAAATACAAGAAATAAGAGTGATGCTATCCAGATTTTTCACTCTGCTCCCGCTGTCCTGCACCAACCTCACAGTGCAGAAACCTTCCAGTGTCTCTCCTTGGGTGGCAGTGAGGCCATTGGCAGTGGGAAAGAGGGAGAATGGGGCAACATGAGAGATGAGTCCGCCTTGGTTGGAGTGGGGATAGAGTAAACCCAGAGGCCGAGACTCTCAAATTGATTTGGAGCCCAACACCTATTTAGAAATTCCTGCAGTTTGTGATCCAAAGCAGTTACAAAAGAGATCTTCTGAAAGCTCCCACCAAGAGCTCTTTGCAAGGACATGGGGAAACAAACAGCTCTTTCTCCATGTGCTTTGTCACTTGACAGTGGGTCATCCCTTACTGTTCCTTGTCCAGTCATCCAAGAAAATGATGCACTATTAAAGCACAAGGGGGAAAATGCAACTAGTTAAACATCTCAGAAAACCATTTCCAGCACAAGAAAGCATGAAGCTGGAATATGAAAGGGAACTTTACACATGAAGATCTAACAACATGAATCCTCTCAGCATTATAGAGAAGTGAAGATCAAAAAGGATAATGGATTTGAAATAAGACTTAAAAGACCACATTGGCCTGGAGCTGCAGGGACCGTTGGGGCCATATGTTAAGCAGAAACAGGATGTTTTTGGTGTGTCTACAGCAAGCTCAAAGGAAAATGCCCTCCTTCCAGCATGTCTGTCTGTCAACACCCCCAAGTACATCCACACCCACTGGAAAGCTGTGGGTAGGGAGCACGCTGGGGAGTAATGCTGAACTCCTTCTTCCAAGGCCAGAATATGAAATCTGTCTAAAGGAAAAACATAGACGTGTCTCTTGAGCTCCTGGTGCAGGAAGCATCTACCTACATCAATACCAGGGTGGCTTTCAAGGAACCACAGTGAGAAGGAACACATTGCTGGGGTTGGGAAGCCCACCCTCAGCCTTCAGTGACAGCCCACCATGCAACACAGCAGGTGGTTCTACTAATTTTTTTTTATCTTACTTCTCATGGAAAGTAAGAAGCTATTTTTACACCCCAGTAACAGCCTTTGGACTGTCAGTAAAACGTGGGAGGTTTTGTAGTAGCTGTTTTGCCTGACGTTTTCTCAGAGATAGCTGGAAATAGTGCGTAATTAGAGAGGCTGTGTTGGAAAGACCTGCAAATATCTACAGATCTATGGAGAGTGCAAGTATCTATACTCCATGTAGAGTGCAAATGTTTTTTTTTTCATTATTGAGCCCAGCGAAGGTGAAACTAAATGTGGTTTATAGAAATGTAAGATGATCTTACAGGCATCAAAGTATAGACCTGCAGAAGAGCCAAGTTCATTTGATTTCCTCTTTCTGCTATCATTCTCTGTAGAAAAGACTTCTGGGCAATTTGGATACAGAAGTGCACCTTTAATGGTGTGTCCCTGGAAAAGAATTTCAACAGAAACCTACCTTATTTTGCTGAATTCACATTAAGACAGTTTGCAACCAGGACTAATTTCATAGACTCACAGAATCATAGAATGGCTTGGGTTGGAAGGACTAATTTCCCTGGACTCATTTTCCCCTTGGCTTCTGGCACACCTAGAGATGCTGGGGTCTGCAGGGAACAGTGCCTGAGCAACACCCACAGCTGCAATTCCCCCAGAGCTCAGCTGGATTATCCACATTCAGGCAGCTTTTACCCCCTCAAAAATAGTGTGTTTCTAATTGACAGGAAAACCTTGCAGGAAACCAAACAATCTGCTCTAATCACGAAGGTAAGTTTACGCATTCAGTTGACCACTAGACCTGCTATAAACTCAAGTGACTGCAAAGGATCCTGCTCCAGCCTATCAGTTAAATAAATATGTAGCGAAAGCGTTTTCTGAAAGTCTGATTATGTCATCAGCAGAGTGAAAAGGCTTCTTCAGAGCTGCCCTCATCTGTTGAGTAATTACTGAGTTGGGACAGGGGCCAAAAGGCTCCTTTTGAACACACAGAAAGACTAGATGCACATGTAGAGCTGCTAAATATAAACCTGTGGCATATCCTCCATTTCCCCTCCTCTCCCCCTTGCAGAATACCAAGGGGGTTACATCACATCCCAGAGCAAGCCGTTGTGATGGTTTCTTCCCCCCTGTATTCCTTTATCAGACACATTTCTTTCTTGTGCTCCCAGGCAGAGATCTGCTGTAGCCTGGAGCAAATACTGTATAGTCAAGTTGAATTAAACAAATCTCTCTCTTCCAAATGAGGTTGTATAGTTCCTGGTTCCTTATGGAGGCAGTGTGTTATTTAGTTTACAGGAAGGCAAAGAAATAGTCAAGAGATGGTAATGATGATGGGGCTGTTTGGACTGGAAGAGAGAAGGCTCTGGGGAGACTTAAGAGCGGCCTTTCAGTATCTAAGGTGGGCTATAAGAATGAAGGGGGCAGACTCTTTAGCAGAATCTTTTGTGATAGGACAAGGAGAAATTATTCCAAACTAGAAGAGGGGAGATTTGGACTGGATGTACTAAAAAAAGTTACTGTAAATAAGGACAGTGAAGAGCTAGAGCAGGTTGCTCAGAAAGGTGGTGGATGCTTCATTCCTGGAGACACACAAGGTCAGGCTGGACAGATTCTGAGGAACCTGATGTAATTGTAGGTGTTCATTGCAAGAGAGTCGGACTAGATGACCTTTGGGAGTCCCTTCCAACTCAAATGATTCCATGAACCTGGGAGAGAGGGAAAGTGAAGGCTGAACACCAAGAAAACAGCTACATGGGATCTGAAAAAATGTCATTTTGCAAAATAAATAGTATCTAACAAGGTTGAAAGAAATATTATTATTATTTTTATGATGCCATTCTAAAAATGCTGTCCTGAAAAAGCAATCAGGCTGAGAATAAGAGTTTTGCAGCTGTGTCTTCCCAGCTCTTCACTTCCCTGTCAATGAGCTGATGAACATCCTCATTCTGTAGTTGTCATGCACCCCTTGCTTTGTATCCTCCAGTCCTCAAAGATCAAACCACGCTTGGGGAAAAGTTGGGACCCACCTACTGCAAACCAAATAGCAATGAATACCCTTGTTCCTTATTGACCCATGGAGCTGAATCAGAGAAACCATAGTGGTTTTTAGGAAAGGGTGGCTCCTCAGCTCTGCTACATGAGAAATCACCATCTGATGTTTTAGAGGCTTACTGTTTGCATGCCCCCTGTGATTTCAACACAATGTGGGGTTTTCCTAAACTTCTAAACACTGTTTCCATGTAGGCGCTCCCCAATTGACTCCCATCTGCTCCATGCAAATCCTGCTGCATTTTCCTGCACATTCCTATGAAGGGAGAGTGAAATGAGTAAAAAATAAACATGCAGCTGTCTCTGAGGTTGTTGGCTTGCATTGTGGCTTTGGTAAAAATACTCCTGCCTTAGTTTCCCCACCTGGTCATTAAACCCATAGGCAGGAGAAGGGGCATAGAAGAAGGAGAATTTAGGTGGAAAAAGGGTTGTAATTTAATCACCCGTATTTTGTGATGATTTACTTGCAGTGCAAAACCTGTGTGTTGATAAACTGTTTTCAGCCTCATCTGATCAGTTCACCACTTCATAGGTGTCAGCAGCACTGAAGTGTTCACCCAGGCAAGCTGCTCTGGGCTCCTACGTGGGAGCAGGCATGGAGCTGGTCTCTTCTCATCTCCTATATGAGGTAGGGATGGCGGATGTGGCTCTTCACATCCATAGACTTTGGTGTCCAGCTCAGACAGAGAGAACTGAAAGACATTCTGCAATTCTTGTTCATATGAGACCCCTCCTTACTAATGCAAACTCAACAGCGGTTAAAAATATACCCATCCTAGCTGATTTTAAATGGATATTGTTTAATCCATGCAACCTTCCCAGATATCATCTATTGGATAAATTGGGTGCTTTGCAGAGGGTTGCCTAAGTCTCATATAAAGAACTCACACAAGTGAGTTAAAAATGCTCCAAAAGAGACAGTTGGGTGGAAAAAAGACCAGAATATATCATGCAATGGTTAGTCAACGAGCAAAAGAAAAGGATGAAATGTTGCATGTGGTGAAACGTTCTTCTCAGCTGTTATTTGGGAGTGGTTGAAAGAGTTAAGCCCAATACTGGAATGTCTTGGGAATGTTGGCAGAGGGAGAGCAAGCAGTTTTTTTCCTCCCTCTGGATGGAGTCCCAGGACTGAGCTTTCAAAGTGATGACTTTGGATTCGAGTTTGCTTCTTGGTTCTGCAGCAGAAAGCTGGGATGTGATGCCGTGGAACCAAGAAGCCCTCTGCAAGGGAAATGCAACTGCCTTCCAAAGACAGGAGAGGTGTTTTTATCTTCTCCCTGCTCGCCCCTGGTACAACAGAATTCGCTGTGAGAAGATACACACACGGAGAAACCACATCCTGAAGGGTGTGCACGAAGAGAGAAAGGCACATCCCTAAACAATTTATTTTGACCGCTGGTTTTTGTCGTTGGATTTGGTTTAGTGGTTTTGTTTTGGAACTTTTTTTAGTGTTGGCCTTTTTTTTCTCTCTCTTTTTTTCTTTTTTTTCTTTTTCTTATTTTTCTTTGGTGGAAATCGCAGTGACTCTTTAACCTTGCAGTTGATAAGGCATTAGCCGATCGCCTCCAAACAGGGAGCCCAGCATTTATTGCAGGGAGCTGGCATGGCTGCCGTGCTCTTTGGCTTTGAGGATCTGCTCTACAGCTGGGACAGCCTGGTGTGGAGCCTGACATCCCGGGCTCTGAGGACTTGCCGCTTCGGAAATCTGAGGGTCCTGCAGCTCATGCTGAAGCCATGGTGCATTTCCAGAGCCATTTATCAGGTAGGGTTTTAAAACACCAGGCCAGACCTTCAAACCTGAGTGCTGCAGAGGGGAACCTCCTGGGGAGCTGCACAGGGTCCCATCCTGCTCCCAGCACTGCACGTAATGGAGCAGAGGAGATGCATGTGGGTAAGACCCAAGAGGGGAAATGTAGGGTTGGAGAATGATGGTGGGGTTTCCTGAAGTGGAGTGGAAAATGTGAATTAAGGGTCACTCTGCTTATCTTCCAAACTTGTGAAGCTTTATGTTTTTATGTACGGCCATCCTTAGCTGTGCTGCATCCTTGAGCTGCCTCTGTGATGACAAGAAAGTAATTTATAACCTGTTTGAAGGAAAGGACACCTAGAGACATGTAGTCTGCTGGTGGAAAACGGGCAAACACAATCAGTTCTAAATGCAGAGGCACTGGTTATCCCTATGTGACTTATGCAATGCCTTCAGTCAGCAAAGTCTGAGGCGTTTGATTGCCTAAACTTTTTGTTTTACCCAGTAAATGTGTTACGTGGCACAGGCTGCCTTCCCCACTGCTGCTCTGAATGATGGACATGGAGGTCTGGGGTTTGTTCAGCTGGCTGCTCTGTAGAACCAAAAAGCTGTAATAAACTGTGCTTGTTTCTGTGACTGGCTAAACTGGGTTAAATCCTTTGAGTAATCATCACAGAGAAGGTGTTAGAACTGGATGCCTAGCTGAATAGCAACTCTTATTTCAGTCCCTAGGTGAGCCCAGGTTGAAATTTCGCTCTAAGCCAACCAGTGTTCAGCTCATCTGCTTTTCTAATCAGCCTCAGACAACTGGGGCTAGACGTGTATTCTGCTTCAGGGACAAACCCATTACAATATTTATCAGCTTCACTGGTTTGGCTAATGCAGGATGTTGGATTGACTGATCAGTGTTTGCGTTTGGAAAAGGCATTTTCTGCTACTCCCATTTGCTTGATATTTTGCTTTTCCTGTGCTTTGGAAGTCTCCATGTGTAAAGCCAAGTTACACAGAAAAGGACATATTAAAAGCCTGGAGAAACTGTGTGTGTTGCATAGAGGGAGACCAGAGGATGGCTCATAGCAATTTCAGCAAACTTTGAACCAGCTTCAAAACACACTTTGGTTACTGCAGACTTCAAGAACAGATTTTATGGCCATCTTTGGAGTTCAGCAGGCATGGGCAGTGTGTTTATTTTAGGTATTAATTTGTCCCAGAAGATGTCTGCTGCTAACAGCGTTAAGTCTTTACCCAGATGTGCTTTCTGTGCCAGTGGTCACCCTGGTGGCCCTGAGCACAACTTGAAACTGACACGGGATGTATCAAATGATGGCTTCACAAGAACTGGCATGAGCACAGGAAAGGGGAAGGAAGAGAGCTCAGTGTTGAATCCCCTTTTATTTCTATCCATGTAAAATCATGCTCAAAAACTAAGGAGTAGCCACAAGATTCATCCAAACTCAGGCTATGAACCACCTATCCCACCTTGAACACAGGCATTTGGAGATGCTGCTGCCCACAGAAGTGTGATAACTATCCTGGGATAAGATCTGTTACCTGATGGGGTCAATGAGCAACAAGGAACAATGTCCTCAAGTTGTCAGGGGAGGTTCATGTTGGGTATTAGGACAAAATTCTTCTCCAAAAGAGCATTCAAGTATTGGAACAGGCTGTGCAGGGAGGTGGTGGGCTCACTGTCCCTAAAGATGTTCAAGAAAGAGCACATATGACACTGAGGGCCATAATTAGTACGCATGGTGGAGGTAAGTTGATGGTTGGACTGGATGATCCTAGTGGTCTTTCCAACCTCAATGGTTCTATGAATTTCTGATTCTATGATTCCGTGTTTCTATGATTCTATGAGTGCACTCTTTCCATTACAAAGTGCACATGCCTTCAACTGTCCCCCATGTCATTATGTCACGTTCATGGCATGTTAACCCCCTTCCCCAGAGCCACCAGGAGGACAGGACTTGCAAATGTGCTTCCCCTCACACATATAGGAGCATCAATGCGGGCTGACACTCCACTCCGAAATGGTGGGTCTGGTAGAAGGAGAGCACTGCTGGATGGAGGTTTGCATGTGAACAGCATCTCACAGCTCATCTCCACGGAAAGCCAGAAGTAATAGGATGAGCTGATAGCAAATGTTTGTATGTTAATCCTAACATATCCTCTAGTAGCCAGCATCCTCCAGTTTAAATGCTGACAGTATTTTAATTGAATACTGCCTGGACAGAGCATGACAGTTTGATAACTTCCTACCCGGAGACAGAAAGTTCTTACAATGTTTATTGTTTAGATGAGCAAATAATCTCTTGACTGTGCTATTCCTGTCGCTGTGATGCTTTAATCCCTGCTGCTACTGCATCTTGAGAGCAGAACATAGATTTGCTGTAGGACCTCTTCCAGAAAAGTGATTGCATATGCAAAAAAAAAAAAAAAAAAAAAAAAGTGTGTCTCCATCTTTCATGCTTTTTAATTACCTCACAGTGCTTCTGTGCCTCTAGAGTCACTTCCTTAGAATGGTTTTTTGGATTGGAAAGCACCTTAAAGATTGGGAATGGCAACAGGAAAAAGTGTGTGACTTCATGTGGATCTGACCATTGGGACCAGCATGGGTCTGCAGTGCTGGGGGCTGAGCAGGACGTGGGGCAGCATCTGGCTCCTGATGGCTTCCTCAGTGTCTTTCTTTACTGATAGAGATCTGCAGATATTTGTGTCAGAGACAATCCACGCATAGCTTGTATCTCCTGCACCTTCACAAGACCTGGATTTACTACATGGGCGCTCTAGAATAATTCTGTGCAGATCACAAAAGGAGTGGGATTTCCCACCCCAAATGATGTTAGAAAACTCAGGTGCTCAAGTTCACCCTAACAAAACGTCTATCATTCCCAAAGAGAAAAAACCCAGATGTCTCATAGTCACTGCCCATCCCATGCTTAGATGCTCATACCATGCTTCAAGCAACAAGCAACATCCACTTTTCCATGCCTTGGATTGACCCATCCAGACCATGATGAAGAGCTTGTACATGCAGCAGGCTTACTTAGTTTAGAAACATTAGAAACGGGAAAGATTAAAAATTTTTCTTTCCCCTTGCATCTCTTTGCAAATATTTGAAGATCTTGGAGGGTTTCGTGGCAGCAGAGGGAAATGGCTATGCAGGATGCACACTGCTATGTGCACTGCGCTAAAGAGCACTGCAGTTATCCTTTGCACTGCCAAACAGGATCATGACTCTTGGGGTTTCTGATAGCTGAGGAAATTTTGGTATCCTTTCTCTAGACTGTGGCCCTGACCATACAAACCATGAATATTCATGGGGTTGTTAATCTTTATCTACAATTTACCTGGAAACAAAGTCAATACTGCATGGAGAGTGTGGTCCAGATATATTACTAATGGAGCAGACGGAAAGGTTTTGAGGAAAAAAAATAAAAAAAAAAAAAAAAAGGAACTCCAGGCTTCTACATAATCACTGTAACTTTCTTTGCTCCTGACAGATGAGACTTTGTTTTCCTGGCTCTTGGGAAATCAGTGGAGATGCATTAGCAGAGGTAGATGGAATAGTAATTCTGGGGTGATGTTGGGCATGTTGATCAGGACTCCATCCTCTACATCTGAGATTTCAGCCTTCAAATCCAAACTGACGTGGCAATCAGAAATCTGGAGGTGCTCAGGCTGTGAACAGTAGTTACAAGAAAGATGGAAACAATAAAAAATTCTTCCTTCATTCTTGGTCTCCAGACTGGATTTGACTTTCAGAGATGCTGAATAAATTCATTTCTCATTGTCTTTAAGTGATGCTGTAGTACTCAAGACACCTGAGAACTAGAAGCCCCAAGGCAAAGCACCCTCAGCTGTATCAGACTGCATTTCTTTCCTGCAAGTAAATCCTTCTGCAAGTCTTGCATTCCCAGGGATGCATTTGTTTACCTTGTCTGAGCAAACACCTTGCCTCTTGAAAGTCCACTCTGTTTCCTTTGAGCTAATATTCACCATAAGCCATTTGCAATGAATGCTTGCTGTACTTTAATTTTGTTTTGTGATCTGCCACGTGGCTTTCAGGCTGCATGATTGTAACCCATTTAAGAAAGGAGATTAGCAAAGAATAAACTTCCAGTCAAAGCTTTCAGACTGTCAGTTGTGAGAGAAGTCTCTGAACTGCTGGGTGTATTTTTACCAGTGCCCAGAAGACATTTGATTGCTCTGACCTACTAAAAATTGCCCTGTGAACTCACACAGTGGAAATTCTGCATAAATACTCCGTTTTCAGGAAGGGCTGGGGGAGGGCTGGTTTGTTGCTTGGTAGGCAGTCTGTACTATATTTTAACGTCCTGAAGATATTTCACTATTTATTTAATCTCCAAATCCATCAACAAATGTTTTAGTTTACTGACTACGCCTGTGCAGTGTCAAAAAACATTCGGCAGAGCAGGACCCACATCTTCAGTAAAAGTGTGTTGATGTGACTTTCTGCTTTAAACCCCACAAAGCCGCTCCCACCAAATCCCAGGCAGAGCTGGGATGCAAAGCAGTCCCTGCAGGACTTGCAATACCAAACCTCACATCCTTTAATTCCTTACACACTGCAAATAGCAGTACTGTGCATTTTTTATACAGTGCATTTTTATAATAGAATGGCTTAGATTGGAAGGGACCTCAAAGATCATCCAGCTTCAACCACTTTGCAAAGGCAGTTAAGTAACATTGTGTCCATTATACTGCTGTAAAATCTGAAAGATGGCCAAAATTACTCACTTAGCTGTAGGTGCATGCAAAGAATTGCCTTCAACACCTCACTGCTCCCCATACAGGTAATGGGATTAAGGGGGGAGGTGAACTGTAGCATTCAGGGGTTGAATGAAGATGATAAGAGAGTGAAACTGTTTTTGCTGTATTGGCAGGAGGATAAAGGGCCAAAATGGGATGGAGAATGTTCTGCAGGAACAAAAGGAGCAGATGAAGCTGTTTTTGCATTGTTTTAGCATTCTGCTCCTCTTGGACAAGAAAAG